CATGTACCATTCTTGTGGGGGATGTTGATAATGGGGGAGGCTGTACGTATATGGGAAATCTTTACCCTCTGCAAACTGTGCTGTGAACCTAAAGCTATTCTAAGATACATACATATTTTTAAGAATGAGTAAGTGTGGGTGTTCCTTGCCGGTCTAGAGGTTAGGATTCGGCGCTTTCACTGCCCTGGCTCGGGTTCAATCCCTGGATCCCTAGTTAGGGAAATGAGAATCCCCCAAGCTGCACGGCACACAAAAAAAGAAAAAGAATGAGTAAGGGAGACTTCTGGCAACATGGCAGACTTGAGCTGACCATACTGACGAAGGTTGGCCGAAATAGGGAAAAAAAATTTTTTTATGTTAAGTAGCTGGATTTTCAGGAAATGGAATGAGGGAAGAGAGGAAGATGTGGGGGAAGGAGGAAGGAGGGAAAATATTGAGGCACGAGAAAGAAAGGGAAGCCAGAGTAGTTATAGTTGATGCCAACACGGCATCCCAGGGTTATGGACAAAATGCAGGGACAGGAGCACTGAGCTTTTTCATTTCAGATAAGGATAGAAGATGCAGCCTTAGACCTTATGAGGTGCAGGATTGCTGGGGTGAATTCTCCTAGATGAAGAGAGCTGGAGCCTGGAAGGGGAGTAGAGTAGAAGGTCCGTGCCAACCATCCATCCTGGGGCAGCAGCAAGAAAGTTAGATGAAAGGCATTTATGAGAAATCCCCAAGCTTGGGCCACAGACAGGTGTGTGCAGCCTGAATTCATATTAGCATGTGGAAGGACCACATGCTGACAAATTACCATGAAGATTGGCCCAGACTGGTGAGAGCCCAGAGCCCTGGAGAAACGAATAATCAACTGGAATGCAGCATACACAGGTATAAATGGGAACTATGAAAAAGAAGATATAGGAGAGAATGAGAAGGTCTAATAGGAGTTCCTGCAGGTTAAAATAGAATAAGCCACACGATTATGGACAATATAAAGATAGAGTTTTCCAGAATGAGAGACAAATATCAATACCTGAAGAAACTCATTGAGGATAAAGAAAAGAACAACCACTCCTAGATGTACTGTAGTACAAAGACAGAATCTTAAAAACAACCAGAGAGGTTGCTTATAAAAGAAGTTAGACTGGCAGCAGACTTGTTACCAACCACAACAGATGCTCAAAACAAAAGGAATAATAACTTAAAAATGCAAAGTCAACTTGGAATTCTGTTCCCATCTAAACATTCATTCAAAGATGAGGACTGGGGCTTCCCTGGTGGCACAGTGGTTAAGAATCCGCCTGCTGATGCAGGGGACATGAGTTCGAGCCCTGGTCTGGGAAGATCCCACATGCTGCGGAGCAACTAAGCCCGTGCACCGCAACTACTGAGCCCATGTGCCACGACTACTGAAGCCCGCCTGCCACAACTACTGAAGCCTGTGCTCCTAGAGCCCGTGCTCCGCAATAAGAGAAGCCACTGCAGTGAGAAGCCCGCGCACCACAACAAAGAGTAGCCCCCCGCTTGCCTCAACTAGAGAAAGCCCATGGGGCAGCAATGAAGACCCAATGCGGCCATAAATAAATAAATAAATAAAAAGATGACCAAAATAACAATATTTTCTAATAAAGATCAGAGCAGAAATTAATGAGATAGAGAATAGAAAAATAATACAGAAAATCAACAAAACCAAAAGATGGTTCCTTAGATTAACAGAATTGGCAAGCCTTTAGCTGGACTGGCCAGGGGAAAAAAAAAAGAGAGGACTACTAACCTTACAGAAATTAAAAGGATTATAAAGGAATACTATGAACAATTAAATGCCAACAAATTAGGTGTCTTAGATGAAATGAACAAATTCCTATAGATAACTTGCTACTGAACCAAGTGTTATTTTTCCCAGTTATCTTTTTTTGCCCACTGAAACCCTCGGATGATAACAGAAATGAGAATGTGGCTTCTAAAGGTGTTTTCTTTTGTCTGACAGAGCGTGGGGTCCTAGTCCTCTGACATGATTTTGGGTGAACTAGAACCTTCACATTCCGTCTGATCCTCTTGAATTCGTTAAGACATGCCAAAACAGAGAAAACTCATTTTTCCCCTTAAAGTGTCTTAGAAACCTCGCCATTGGTTTCTCTCTTCAGTCTCTCTAGAGCTCGCCTGATAGCTGGGGGGTGGAAGGGGGATCTTTGCCCCACCCTGCTGATCAAGTTGTCTACCTTGTCAACACACCACAGAGCGGGCTTTGATTTCAAGTCCCCAGTCCCACTTTGTACACTGTCTGGGCCAGGGTCTCATTTCCCTGGCTTCTTTCTCAAGGCTGTTCCACTAACTTCGGTTACAAGAAATCTGTCTGCGAATCTTTTGAAAAGGCAGGCGGCTGTGGCATCTTGTCAGAAGAGAAATAGCAGTCATGAAAATGTCAGATTTTTATGTTTACTTCCTTAAATATTGCCCAACATCAAACTTCTAGTGAGCTGACCTGTTCAGTCATCCAGCTAATATTTTATTGAGCATCTGTTATGTGCAAGATGTTATGTTAGGGGATGCAGGTATATACAGAAATCTTTGGTAAGCAAGACAGATTAAGGTCCAATAAAGAGGTTAGAGATGGAAATGAAATAATTTTTAAGGGGAAAAGCAAGTATATAAACCATATAAAATGTTTTAATTCTGTGAATCATGATCCAATGAAATCAATTTAGTGGGTTTGCTATCACTTTTTAAAAATTGAAACAATATAAAATATCAGAACGTTGACTATACTAAGGAAGTTTTGTAAGACTTTTGTTCGCTATGTTGTTATTTGTACTGGAGATGCAGTGTAAAATATTTTTTACTGTTGGTTACAGTAAAAAGAGTTTGAAAAGGTAGGTCGAATATGCTTCAGGACAATCAAGAATCTTTCTGAAGGGAGGTGGCTTTGAAGAGTTAGAATTTTAACAAGTGGAAATGGGGAAATAAGAGGAAAAAGGGCTATATTAGGTAGAGAGAAAGATAGAATTGGGGCTCCAAACCTGGCACTAGGCAGGAAAGACTGCGGGACAAGGCAGGACTTTGGGTATCCCTAAAGAATTTTGTGTGGGGGTGGTTATGGAGAGTTAAGACCTTTTGATTTTTAGCTGTGTTAATAATTAATTGAATTCCCTAATGGATTACTGATAGCTTATCAGCTCTGGTGGACTTTGGCAGCTCTACCCCTTTCTGGTTGCAAACAAGTGAGAATGCTGTGATAGGGCCTGTGGTGGGGTGTCTTGTCCTGCCTCCCCTCCCGTTTCTCTGAAGGTACCTTCCCCCCTGTTTGTAGTATTGACACATTGCCTGGAAGAGCCTTTGGGATTGCTTTTAGACCTCAGTTTTTTAAGAAGAGTTTAACACCTCTTTGTAATATGTATTTATGGGCTTCAAACTTTTCAGAGCTCCGTGTGTTAGAAGCATGCTTGTTTTACTTAATCACTGGGTGAGTTTCTCATTCCTTTTCCAGAACTTCAAGAAAAGGAATGCATGGTATAGACTGGTCCATTTCTGACAGCCCATTGGATTTGGGGTTGAGAGTCCCAAATGAATGACATAATGTCTGAAAAATACTCGAGTTTAACCAAGAAAGACAAATATAAAGGGTTATTACAAAGATGAAGGGGCTCTGAGGGAGATTCTGCAAGAGATACAATTACTTTGAAATCTCTTGGAAAATGAGAGGAATATCACCCCACCTCTTACTCAATTGGAGCACTGTAATTGCAGGGTGAGGATAATTAAATTTTAGAAAAACCCACGGCCCAGCTAGTCTCTTCAAGAGTGGCATAAACAGTCTGGCCTGCTCTGGCTTTGCTTCAGTGCTTTCTCTCTTTTTCCCTCTCCACCTTCCTCCTAAGGAGGAACAGGCTGCCACCGAGGCCTGGATTCTTCCTGCCACCCACTCCAGGGATTATCTGCTTTCCTTTCATCACAAGCACTGCCATCATGGGCCTTCCTTTCCCCAGGACTTGGAGAGTGGGATGTGGTCCCCCTTCCCTGTGCAAATACAGAGACACTTAGTGTCGGCTGAGCACCAGTCATTGAGCTGGAACAGGGACTTGGGTACTAACAGGCTACAATTCTGCTTAGAAAGCCCTTCCTTTGGGTCCCATAGACCGAGGTGGCAGCTGGCTTAGCTGCAGAGGAAACAATCATGACGTCCAGCAGAACAGAACAATGGGAATTTAATGGGTGGCTTATTTTCTCAAGAAATTTGCATTTCCGAGGCTTGATATCCATCTCAATAGAACTACTCCACATCAGAAAAGACTCCTAGGACACTCCTCACACAAAAATTAACATTTCTCCCAGCTTTCGGTTAAGCAATATGTGGTGCGACATCTAATTCGAAAGTGAGTATAATATGGCTTATTTAGAACTTGAACAGGAATTTTTTGTTCTTTCGTCTGGTGGGAAAATGCAGAAAAAACATTATCTATGGGTACGTCCCCTCCCAGGGAGTATTTCAGAATCGAGCTTTTTACATTAATCAGAAGTGTTCAGATATATATATATATATATATGTATGTGTGTATATATATATATGTATATATATATACACACACACACACACACACACACACACATACATATTAGATGGGTAGCAGTGTTACTCCGAGGAGATGGAGGCCGGGTTGTGAGAACTTCCCACGTAAGGAGGGAAAGGTCTTAAAGGGAGGTTTCCAGCGGAAGGAGGAGCCTGTGGGATGGAATTCGCGGCAGGGTTACGAGATGAAGCTAGGCTCTCGGCGGGCTAGGCGCAGAAGTGCGCTGGCTCGCCCCGCAAGCCTGGGCAAGCCAAGCGCTGGTCGGGTCTAGCGGGCGGGTGGCAGTCAGCTCACACACGTAGCCCTACAGCCAGCCAGGGCCCCACGTGGCAGGCCCTGGGGAGAGTGGGGTGGGGCGGGGGCGGGGCGGGGCGAGAGCGGGGGCGGGCCCGGCCGTGACGCGCAGGGTATATAGCGGGGCATGCGCGCCGCGCGGGGGAAGGACGCAGGCCTGGGGGAGAGGGCAGGCGGGCTCCCTGCGCGGGCGCGCCGACCTAGCTGCGCTGGTGCTGACGCTGCTGCTGCTGCTTCGGGCCGCCTGAGGGCCTGGTTTGTGAGGGTGCGCCGGGCCAGGTGGTGTCCGCCCAGCTTCAGGTGAGGTGGGGAGGGCGTGCGGGAGGGGCGGCTCCGTGCCCCGGGGATAGGGCATCGCGCGCGGGAGCAGTGCGCCTCCGGGGCTCGGGGTCACCGGGTGGGGGTGGGGGCACGGCTGCGCAGAGGACCCCGAGCCCGGCAGCGGTTTCGGGAGTCGCTCCGGCGCACCCGCATGCGGACCGGGACGCTGGATGGAGGCGACACCTGGCTACCTGGCCGCGGTGCCACGCGAGGGTTACTTGGTGGCGAGGGAAGAGAAGGCGCAGCTACGGTCCCTTTGGCTGGAGAGCGCGGGATGTGGGAGCCGGAGCAGGATGTCGATAGCCGCACTAAAAGACTGAGAGGTTTCCTGGAGCCCATAAACTCGGGCTCAGAAAAATCAGAGTAGATGGGCAAATCTGGTGGGCAGCTCACGGGGCGGCTCTGATGGTGCACTGGTGTCTGGACTTTGCTTTTCAGGAACTGAGTCCCTCACCCCACCCTGGCCAGACCGCCTCCCAGCTGGAGATAAATGACCCGTATCTTCCGGCCGGCCCGGAGCAGGAGCTGGAGGATGGCAAAGGAGGGACTAACTAAACTCCGACCTGGCTTATCCCGTGGGCATGGCTTTTTAGCTATTTTTGGTCCCTACCGACCGGGTTAGGTGGTCTGGCTCAGGCTGCCCTCTTTTGGTGGGTTGGGGCAATGGGAAAAAATACCATCCAAGCAATTTACAGTGTGATCCTGGGGTCCAATTGAGTCAAGAAATTTTCCGCAGCTCTGGCTTGTGGCTTCAGTTTTGAGGATCTAGAGTCTGCTAGGGCCTGGGTGTCCATGAGTATGTGAGCATGATTTGGAGACTGGCTGAGGGCTCTCCTGGGGGCCTAAGAAAGGGTGGGGGGAGGAGCAGCTTTGACCTGACCCTTCCTCCTGGAGCTTCCCTGGGCTTGCTTTTGTCTGGAGTCACTCTTTCCTAGGAACCCCAGGCCAGTTAGGTCGGCTGCTGGGAAGTGGTGGTGGTAATGTGGTGGGTACTGGCCTGGCTTCCTGGCCTCTGTCCCAACTCTGCTCCTAACTTGCCCTGTGTCTGGAAGAAGGAGTCAGATTAGATCTGTGGTCTCTTACCCATAGCATCTACGATTAATCCTTAACTCTTAAAACAAGAACCATAAAAACTGAGAGAAACTTAATGAAGCAAGAGAAAGAATGTCGAGAATCATAACTTTTAGCACCTGAAATTGAAAACTGCATATTCCATTTCCTGTTGGAGGCTCAGAGATGAGTTTTTCATAAATTGTGTGATAGCCACTATATAGACTAGTGGTGCTCCTCCTGGGTTGCAGGTATGACTAGAGAGCACCAAACAGAATGATTGACCTTGTCATTTAGGCAAGAAGACTACGTTGAGGTACCAGGGCCCCGTGGCTCTCAGTATTTCATCACTTCAGTATGTAAATATACAGTGCCTGGTCTGTGCTTGGCTCTGCACTTGGCCACTGGAGAGTGCAAAGAGGGGATGGGGCCTGGCTCCTGGAGACACTTGTTGCGGGGGAGAAAGAACGTCCATACATGAAGAATAAGGTAGCAGCACAAGAGAGGTCACACTGTTGTGTTTGGTCAAGTTCAGAGAAGACAGCACTCTACTAGAGATGGTATAAGGTGACAGGAGAATTCCAGGCTTTTGAGCCAGGTAAATCTGTTCACATCCTGGCCCCATCACTCTCCAGCAGGAGACATTTCTTTTTTTTTTTTTTTTTGGCGGTACGCGGGCCTCTCACTGTTGTGGCCTCCCGTTGCGGAGCACAGGCTCCGGACGCGCAGGCTCATCGGCCATGGCTCACGGGCCCAGCTGCTCCGCAGCATGTGGGATCTTCCCGGACCGGGGCACGAACCCGTGTCCCCTGCATCGGCAGGCGGACTCTCAACCACTGCGCCACCAGGGAAGCCCCCAGGAGACATTTCTTAACTTCTGTAGACCTGTCCTCACTGCTGTGCATCCTGTTGTGGTTGTGCCCGGAGCATAGTAGAGGTTTGTGATCATCTACATCATCATTATCATCATCTTCTCTGGGATGGAGTGGATTATTTAGGGGTCCCAGGAGCTGATAGGTAGGTTGGGTTGTAGGAATGGTATGAGCCCAGACGTAGGGTTGATTCATCACCTCCTTGGGAACATGGACGCAATTTCCATGCCTTTCCGGATAGACTTCTTTTCAGTGGCCTGCCAGGGATTGTTCCACATATTCACTGTCCCACAAAGACTTTTTTTCAACCTTTGGTTTTGGGAGCTACTTTGATTCTTTCAGGTAACGGAGATACTCAGTTTCCGGGCTGATAATAGGCGGGTAGGACTTAACACTGCGTGTGTATCTGCGCGCATGCGTGGGTGTGTTCGCGCATGCGCACGTACAGTAAATTATCAGTCATTGGACTGGTTCGGTTTTCAAACCCCTTACACCATCTTCTTCTCTTCCTTACCTGTTCACACCCCGCTCAATTACAGGAGGACCATCAATCCATGTCCAATATTTACAGGATCTTGCGATCTAAGTGGCAGTGCCATATGTCTGGAAATCGGGATCTTCTCCAGAATAATTCAGCCTTTTCGTACTTGATGCCTGCAAAAATAACGCTTAAGCGTTTTGCAGAACCACCCATGATAGGATATTGAACTGGAGGGACTTCGGGAATCTTCGAGTCTAGGCCCTTTGTTTTACAACTGAAGAAACTGGATCTAGAGAGGTTAACTGGTGTTTCCAAGTCACATTGTTTGCTAGTGGCCAAGAGGCTTGATTGAGAGGACCAAAGAAAGGTGCAGTTTTTATTCCTAAGTGTGATGATAAAATTGTTGATAATCCTAGAGTTTTTTTTTTTTTCTTTCTTTCTTTCTTTTTTTTGCGGTACGCGGGCCTCTCACTGTTGTGGCCTCTCCCGTTGCGGAGCACAGGCTTCGGATGCGCAGGCTCAGCGGCCATGGCTCACGGGCCCCGCCGCTCTGCGGCATGTGGGATGTGGGATCTTCCCGGACCAGGGCACGAACCCGTGTCCCCTGCATTGACAGGCGGACTCTCAACCACTGCGCCACCAGGGAAGCCCCTCTAGACTTTTCCTTGAAAACATGAAGAAAAAGGAGCCAGTTGTCCCTGTGCTTATTTGGGAAGTTCTCTGCTTGTGTGGATAGAAATTTCTTCTGGAGGAGTCTTCTCCCCTCTCTTCCTGACTCCCTGGAGACATAGGAGGGTGGGGAGAGGCTGAGGAAGGGTCATGGTGATGGGGCCCCAGGCAGGACTCTCGATGTCTACAATGGGACTTTGCTGACCTCGAGGCTGGCGGGCTGGCAGAATGCCTGCAGATAAGGAGTCCAGAGTCTACCGCCAGCCAGCGGCCTCTTGCCCTCCTGGGGGCAAGAAGGGTAACCTCACCACAAGGTCTCCGAGGCCCAGCTGCCTTGTTCTCACCCTTATTTTGGCCATCGAGGCTCCCAGGGGGGACCCCTTGTTGGGCCCCGGGTGAGATCCAGAGGCAGAGCCCCCTGTGGGAGGGAAGGTGGCCACAGAATCAGCCTGGAGAGAGCGCTTGGCATGCCCCTATGTGGGAAACCAGATTCCCTGCCTCAGATCTGACTGCATCATCGGACCTCCTAACCTTCCTCCAGCCTCAGGACCAGGAGAGTCCTGGGGTTTGGTGGAATGAGAATGTGACTGTCCTGAATTTATTACCATTGGGTCCCTAGAGGCTCTTACTCAGTGCACTCAGAATTAGTAATGAATAAAATATGTCAGGGGTTTCCCTGGTGGCGCGGTGGTTGAGAGTCCGCCTGCCGATGCAGGGGACACGGGTTCGTGCCCCGGTCCGGGAAGATCCCACATGCCGCGGAGCGGCTGGGCCCGTGAGCCATGGCCGCTGAGCCTGCGCGTCCGGAGCCTGTGCTCCGCAACGGGAGAGGCCACAACAGTGAGAGGCCCGCGTGCCGCAAAAAAAAAAAAAATATGTCAGCTAAACGTTGGGAATTTTTTTTTAAAATCCATGTTTTAAACAATTCATTTTTCCTTAAAAACGTGCATGCATTTTTTTCTTCCAGTTTTTTCTTCCAGTTTTATTGAGATATAACTGACATACAGCACTGTGTAAGTTTAAGGTGTACAGCATAATGGTTTGATTTATATACAGTTATGAAATGAGTACCACAATAAATGTAATGAACATACATCATCTCATAGAGATAAAAGATTAAAGAAATAGAAAAGAAATTTATTTCCTTGTGATGAGAACTCTTAAGATTTAACTCTCAACTTTCATATATAACCTACAGCAGTGTTAATTATATTTACCGTGTTGTACGTTACTTCCCTAGTACTTACTTTTCTTATAACTGGAAGTTTGTACCTTTTGGCTGCCTTCATCCAGTTCCCCCATCCCCAATGTGCATATATCTTTATTTGCCAAAGCTTGATTTAGGGCTAAGCCTTTTTCTTTGGGTCTCTAGGTCCCCTAATTAAACTTGCAAATTGTTTGTATATAAAAATCACACCTGTGATTTTTTTGTTTCTTTTCTTTTATTAAATTTTTTTCACCGTATGTCAATTATATCTCAATAAAACTGGAAGAAAAAAATTTTTAATGGAAAAAAATTTTTTCACTAGGCTATATATTCACATAGTTCAAAGATCAGGAGGATAAAAAACTTGAAAAAGCAACTACAACCCCCCCCTCACCTAATACAGTGAAGAGTCTCACCTCTGCCCATCCCACCCCATTTTTACAAATGCTATAAGTTAACATTTTAGGCATTGTTTAGCACCTTGCTTTTTTCACCTAGCAACTATTCTAGATCTTTCCCCATCGGCACAGAAATACTTTTATTATTCTTTTACTATAGCTGCATATTATTCCAGAATAGGAAAGCAAAAGTAATTTTTAAACCAACGTATGTTGCCTCCCTCTTTCCCCCAACTTGGGTTGTTTCCAGTGTTTTGTCATTACGTACAGCGCTACAGTGAATAACTTTACAAATGACATTT